AGAATTAAAAAAATATGCGTATTACGATTTTTATATAACTTTACATATATTATAAAATATATAAATATTTATATATATTATAAATTATAAAATACAAGTATAGATAGATTGTATAATATATAGATAGATTGTATATTTAAAACTATATTAAATGCATTTTTAATGTTTACTCGATATAATTCATATATCGAATATCTTATATTAATTAATTATACAAAACTATTAATAAATTCTTATTTTCCTTCTATATAAACATCGATTACATAATATGATGATTGAACAAATAATTAAGTTCAGATAATATGATATTTATAAGTAATACTATTTTATTGATACTATCGGTAATACAATCATTGTAAATATATAAAACAAGTTTTCATACTATAAAAAAGCAATTTATATTATTATATTGATATTATTTTACATAATATTAAGCATTCAAAATTTGTTTTCGATAACATTATGTGCATTAGGATATTAATATATGTTTACATAATGTATGGTTTGAAGAGTCGATTCTAGAAGTTGAGACAAACACAAAAGTTGGTATATAAAAATGACAATTGAAATTTATTAACTTTTAAACAATTCTATTAATAAATAATTTATTAATTTATTTATTAAGCTATAAACAATTTTTAAGTATATATTTTTAAGTATATTAAATATATTCATATTATATGAAGTGAAATGAAAATAAAGTATGACAGATATAATGATGACAGAGCTTCACTTTCTTTTTCTCTTCTCTTTTTTTAAAGAGAAAACAAATTTCAATTGCTTCTTGCTAACTTTATAAATAAATCTTAACCAATAGTTTTATATAAAATTTGTACTTATTTTATTTAAAATTGTGTTTTTATATTTCTAAGATTGGGCTTTTAATGTTATTTTAAAGATTATATATTACGAATAACATTTTATATATATATTAGTTTTAAAATTTTTATATATTTAAAATGATATGATTTATATCATATTATTTTTTGTCATATTATTATAGAGTGGAATATTTGCATTTATTGAAAAATTGGACAAAACTATATAATTATATTATTATATTATAATTATATTATATATGTTATATTATATTATATATATAATTATATTTATCCAAAATCTGTTTCTAAACTATCATAAATTTATTTCATCTTTTTATTTTTCGATATTTTAATCAACATTTATCAAATTAAGTTTCTCCGAATTACGATTTCTTAATTATAATCTTTATTAAGCTATACATAAATAATGTTTTTTTATTTTTTAATGTATAAATTATTAGTATTTATATATAGCAATTATGTAGTTATCTGTATAGACAATTTTATAAAAAAATTAAATTTCTTATAGTTTGAAGAACAAACTCCATCAATTTGTTTCATATTTTATTATTCAATTTATATTTTATAATTGTATAACTCATATTCTATTATTTTTCATTATCTTAATATCTAAAATTTTTCGAAAATATTTTAAATATATATTCGATAAATTAACAAAATACTAAAATAACAATAATTCAATATGATTACAGATAAAACAACGTTTTTAATAAAATTTTACGAATTTTATCATTCAAAAAAAATTTTGTCCAATTCAAGAAGATTACACATTATTTCCGCGATAAGAATCTGTTCAACTTCGATCTTTCTCTATATTGCGAAAGACCTATATTATTGGTTCGCCAGTCAACTTCCGAATATATATATCACTATTCGTGGGAACGATCTGTCGTTGATGGAGCTGTTGTGTATGCTTCTGCTGTTTTCATGCTGAATTTTTCGGGTGTTCCCTCTCTTTCTCTCTTTCATCACTGATTTCGTGTAAAGTATGCCGAACACGTAATTTACGCCTACTAATGTGAATGTCCATGCATGAAGTTTCGTCGTTCGTTGGAACATATGCGAAACACGACATACACGACTGTGCGATCGAATCCGCGCAAAAATGTGATTTCACTACATTAGAAATTAAAACTATGTAACATGTATGTCTGATATTTCTGTTTGTATGGTGAATGAGAACCAGAAGTTATTCCTGTGCTTAGGAGGATATAAAAGTATATTGTTTTACATTTTCTTTTATATTTGTTTGTTATTTATATGTTAATATTTCTATCTGATATTATAATGTAGATAATTAAATTAATTATCTTGATCATTATAAAATCAGAATAATTAATAATATATGGTTCTATAATTTATTTTATGAAAAGAATATAGATATTAATATTTTCGATTTAGTTTTCGTCTATTAATTAATTTGTATTCTTTTTTATTTTAGCAATAAGTAATATTAAGATGATTCATATAAATCAAATTCGTAATTTATTCCAATTAATGATAGTACATTAAAATATATATGAGATATATGTAATAGGTATCTTAATCTTATCTATATTTGAAGCTAAAGTTAATAACATTAAAATATATATTCAAAAAGTTTTATTTTACAACATAAAGTCTCTTTTTTTTATAAATTTTAGCAAGTAAATATTGCTAGTATATTAAATGGATTCTTAACAAATTTTTCAAAATGTGACAATTTTTTAAAATTTTATAAAGGTAATTTTGAAAAGGTAATCATTTCCATCGATTTTTTCTAAATGCTTTGATGATAACGATAGAAATAAATGAGCTTAATCGAATGGGTTTCATCTTGTTCATTTTGAAGGTGAGACGAAGGAGAGACGATATTTCTAACTACATTTCATTGTATTACAGATGAAGTTTACATATCTTGCGGTTATTTGTTCAAAAGTAGCGTTACCGTAGTTGCTTGGTGATTCTTGTGTAATTGCATTTTAAACTTGAATCTTTGTTCAAAGAATTTTGCATAAGAGAAATTTTTCGTAAGTTAATAGGTTTATTGAATTCTGGGTTAATGAAAATAAATTGTTTACTTAATGGTTCTTTTGTTCAAATAAAACAATATATTTACATATTTATAGACTTATATAGATAAGAAGAGGAGAAAGATGTATGATATAAATATAATATATATTATATATATACATATATTATTTATGAATTAGATACTTTATTTTTGTTTTCATAATTAGTGATTTTTTATTATTGTACCAATTTAACAAAAATCAAATTAAATTGAGAAAATCAAATAAGAATTGAAGGATTTCAATGTTTATCCTAAAAATCTTAAAAATAGTTCAATTCAATATATTTTTAAAAATAATATATTTTTTTAGAAATAAAAATTTTAATGAAAATAAGAAATATTTCAATTTATATATTGTATTTTATAATAAGATTTCGTAATATTTTAATGAGATTTAATTTTATAAAACAAGATGTCGTTACTTTAAAAATATTTTTAAGTGAATTCTGAATAAATTAATAAATAAAAATAATTGCTGAATTCCGCGATTTTGAAATGATCAAAATTAAAAATCAGTAATTACGATGCAATAATTTAATAACATATTAAAATAATATGTTGCAAAAAATCAAATTGTCTTCCGTGAAAATAATTCATATTATGGAAATTTTCCTCTATTCTTTTTCTATATTCTTCAACTATCGTATTATACGCGCAAGTTAGAACTTCACACTGCAAACATTTTGCTTCATCAGATCAAGCGTGTACGTGTCAAATTGATCGCAGTCCATTTTCCAACGACATCCATAAATTGATACGTGTCCGAGATGTATTCCATCACATTGACATATCGGTACGGTTACATAATTCGACATTTCCTAACTGTTGTCACAGCGAAAATAGTGCATCTCATAATATCATCATAATGTACATATATCAATCATCGACAGAAAGTAATAAAACAAATAATGTCTTTAGTCAGCAAAAATTATGAGAACTTTACTTTGTTTGTCAAGTCATTTAAAATTCACTTAAAATTTTTTTCAAGATGATACGCAATAATACTCAATTTTCAGAAATAAAATATATGATGTTGTTTGGTTTGGTAATTTAGAGTTAATTATGAAAATCAATAATGACGAAGGATTTTCGAAATCTTCCTGCAATTAATAATCTTTTTTTACAAATTTTTTTGTAAGAAATTTAAAAATCAATTTGAAAATCAATTCAAACCATAAAAATTATATTACATTTAATTAGTAAATAGTTCATTGATATTTTTTATATATTAAAAAAATAACTTGTTACAATAGAGTAAAGTTTTAAATTAATTAATTGTGATTATAATGATTATAAATTGAAATAAATCAAGATTGAATAAATAAATGATATTTTTAAGAATTAAACAATAATAATATTAGAATTTTTGAATTTTATTGTAATCCTTTAAAGGTAATTTGTATTTTCATAATTATGAATATTTATGTAATTTGCATCATAGACATAAAGAAATGAAGTCTAAATGAGCTCTATTTACTTTGAATATTTGAATATATAATAATTGACTTTTATTTTACGTAATTTTGTATATTTTACATTTACTTATGTCATATTTTCAGTAATTATATATATTTAATGTTTAGTTATTTTATAATTGATAATTATAACTATATTACATACTATAAATCTGTACCTTTTTAATTCCTAATCGAAGATAATTTCTTTTAACAATGAATACAATAATGTAACGCATAATAAATAAAAAATAAAAATTAAGTTTTCAAAATGAAATATTTAAATTTAAATTATTTAAATTTATTCGTAATAAAATCCTAATATTTTAATAGGTTTCATATTAATAATCACTAGAATAATTAACGAATATCAATCATTAAAAATGCCAAAATACATAGTACTTAATGTTAAGTAAAATTTTACCATGTTTTTCATAAAGCACGAACATCCCCAATACGAGTCACAAGAGATTCTTCGAGATATCAACGTAGAAATTAGTAATTTCTAAATTTCTTTCAATATATGCTACAAAAGGCAATGTACTTGTGACCTTGCAACGTATTGGCGTCCTCGACATTCTCGCAGGATGAACACAGAGGTGGGTAGCGATAGACGCGCGATTGGCCGTGGCGAAACGCGCGATCGGCTCGATGGACTTGTCTGTGGACAGCCGCCACTGCGTTATCATCGTTTTCGAACGCTCGCGTGTATCCTATGTTTATTTACGAGTGACACTAACATTCCTCTTAGTCGCGACTCGAGTCACAAATAGAGTATATTAGCGGGTCTTCGTGTAGAGAAATGCATCGACCAAAAGGGAAAGGAAAGGTGTGTGTATATTTATCGGTGCTTTGGTGATTAAATGTTCGTTACCATTGATTAGGGAGAAATTCAATCATATTTCGATTAAGTAATTTTATAATAATATATGAAAAGTAGAATGAAGTGAAAGTGTTGTGAGAAAATTTATTTCATTACTCTATATACAAACATCTTTATAGAAAATAATAGGATTTCATGTATAATGTCGATCAAAAGTTTGTTTATATATATATATATATATATATATATATATATATATATATATATAGTCAATATATATATGCTTATTTGTTAAAATATTTTATAAATTTTAATTAATTAAATTTTAATTTATAAAAATTTATTTATTTTTATTTTAATTTAATTAATTTTTTTTATTTTAATTTATTTTTCTTTGTTTATATATATAGAAATGGGAAATTATCAAAATAATTTATTACTTATCTTTAGCTTAATTTGATTTTTTAGTTTGATTTTTTTTTTTGCGATTGCAATCTTTACTCTGATAATTAAAACTTTTATCAATATCAGAAGAAATATGTTTAAATAACAATTAATAGAAGATATAAAATTGAAACTAAATGTCCATTATAGATGTATAATATTTTAAACAATATTGATTATTTATTACACAAGAATTTTTTATATACAATTAAAAGAAAATACTGTTATTATATATTTATAATGAAAAATATTTTCAAAAATATGCAAAATTATATATTGTAATTACTATATTAAAGTTTTCAATTTGTATTTAAATTTTTCAAAATTAGTATCTAAAATCCTTTAATTATACTTATAATTGCTAGAAAAAATTCTTTTTCATCAATTATTAATAAAAAAAAAATCTTTTTATAATGTTTTTGTACAAAGAAAAAACATAGCATACACAATCTATTTATTTAATCTATTTATTTACTTATTTTATGATTGAATAAAATATATATTATTATTTATTTCACGTCTAATTAAAGTTATTATGTAACATCATGTATGAAAAATTAAATGTAGAATACAAATACAATTGATGTATGCAAATTTTTAATTATTAATGTATATATATATAAATTTAAAAAACCATAAACAATGATAATTAGTTCCTATAAATTAATTGGAATATAATATAATAAAGCATGATAACGAACATGATAAGGAACAAAACAACAATTTCGCAATCTAACGAATCCTCGATAGTCAATGTTCTTTTGCGCGGCAATCAGACCATTTCTCGTGTCGCAGTCTTGCGATTGCTACCTGTTGATCATTTCGTTGACGCTTCTCTATTACAAAATATATAAATCATCCGGTATCGTTAATTCATTTTGTTCACTATAGTCGATATAATGCAGTGATTGTTGATAAATTAAATATTATATATGTATATCTTGATAAATTTGAGACAATTATGCATAGTTTTCGCATTGGAATAAGTTGATCGTAAAAATAGAGTAGCGTTTGTGTTACTTTGAATTGAAAATTTTTATGGTGATAAATCATTGATTAGTTTTTCAGCGAAATTGTGAAAAGTTGAATAATGAAACAAATTGTGTGAAAATTTCTTTGAGATGGAGGGTTAATTGTTGACAGAGTGTAGTTCTTTTATTAATTAGAGAAAGCACCACTTTCGTTTTGGATTATTGTTTATTCAATAATATTTACATACGTGTTTGGAATGGAAACTCAGAGAAATTCGAGTACGTGGAACAGAATATTTTCCATTGAATTTTAAAATCAATAATAATTGTTCATATGATACTGTTTATTTTCAGTAGATATATACTTTTAAATGAAATTTCATCCTTGTTATTTAATATGTATTATTGTATATTTAAATATAGGTACTTAGTGATCAGAATAATTAATGATTAAGTTCATCGCTGCCACACTTTGTTTCGAAAACATTTATACAACTACTTTCACTTTTATTACATTTCGAATTAACCTTGAGTCAGTTAAATGGAATCAAAACCTATTTAGAAATAATACTGATTCATTCATTGAATGTCCTTCAAATAAGAAATTTATAAAATTATCTTTATTATTTCCTATTGCTCAAACTTTTGGGTTTATTCAACTTGTCCTTGATATTGAATTATCCAAAATCGATTCACAGAAAAGAGTTACGCAAACTGTAGAAAGAAGATCCGACTATTGGATCTCGGAATAATTTTCTTTGGAATATAAACATCTCATTATATCTCGAACCTGTTCCTCTTAACTGACCGTGAATATATTCTTTTCTTTTTTTCAAGTTCAGCATAAATTAAACTCTTATTTTTTCTCTCATTGACAAAAACTAAATTTTTTTCTTTTTCTTAGTTATGACTATTCTAGAATTTTTGTGCAAAACATATTTATCATATTATTATACATGTATATTGTATTTAGCATGTTTTACATAAGCAACATAAATACTTATATTCTGAAACAATTCTATTTCATTATAATCCAGGTTTTGAGATATAGAACGATATTTTTTTTCTTTTTTGATTTTTATATAAAAATATATTTTTATATAAAACTATTTTTTATTTATCATGCAATTTATAATAAGTAAATATAAATGTTATAATAAGTAAATATAAATTATTGATTTTTCTCAAATGTATTAATCGTATATAATTTATATTTTAAATGCGAAATATTTTAATAATTATAAGATCATTCGAGATTATTCGCGTTATTTTTTTTTTTTTTTCATAATTTGATAAGAAGATAAATCACTTATCTTGAGACAAAAGTCTGTCAATCATCTAATTCGACGTATTGTATACAAGAAAAACAGTTATTCATCTCAAGGATTACTGGTATTCGATTATTGCAACATATACATCTATGAATTATTATGGAATCAGAACAGATGAAAAAATCGGATACATATTGCGTCATGGAATTTTCAATTGCGCGATCATTGATGGATGATGCAGATAAATACCTTCTATCAAATGATTTTTTGTTGCTATATTTTTATTTTTATTATAATAATAGTATGTATGCGGATATAATTATATCTCTTTGCAATGTAATACGATAAAATATAAATAGTGCGAATTGTTTCTTTAATTTATAGATTATATATATTACTGTTTTTATAATTAATAAACATATTAATATTTGTTAAGAACGAATATTTATTTTAATATTGATTTAGTTACAGATATATTCTAATTATAAATTTAAAATTATAGTTTTTTTAAATATTGTTAATTCAAGTTATATTTGATGCTTTGATATAATTTTTTTCAATTTGCATTTTATCTACAAATTTTATTATTTATTATTTTTTATTTTTATTCCGAAATTGTTGTAAATAGAAAATGTAAATAGAATTTGACAATCAATTATATTTTAATTATTATTATAATTGATTGCGAAAAATAATCATACTTATCATAATTATTAATCAAGTAATCATCATAAAGATTAATCTAATAATTTTTAAAACAATATTTGTAATCTATAATCATTAATTATCTAATTATTATATTATCATATAATAATTATTAAAAAAGAGAAAGAAGAAATTTTTCAAACAAACAATAGAAGCTAAAATATTTTTAATTTAAAATTTATCGTATTCAAAAAGTCAATAAATTATTTCATACAATTATGAGTTTTTCGATTTTAAAAATAAACTATTCAAATTATTTTATATATTTATATGTATATTATATATGTACATTTCATTTGAATAATAATTAAATTCAAATATTCTTGATCAATATCCATCAATATCCAAGAAGTTTCTCTTTTATACAATATGCTCCTATTATCTTCAGTTTTTGTTGAAAAATTGATATCGTATAAAACAATAAAATAAAAGTACGTAGATTACTAGATAAAACATTTGAAATGAAAGTTACAGTAAATGAAAGAACATTAAAAGTAAATTATATTTGAATAATAAAATAAATAAGCAATTTATTTTATGTTTCAAATTTATGTTAATAATAAATATTTTTTAAAAAATATTTACAGTTTTAATTATTACAATAAATTAATTAATAAAATTAAATAGTTATATTATTTGTAACAATAATATTTCTTATATATACCGATATATATATATATATAATAATGTACAAATATGTTACAAATAAATTATCGATTCAATCATAATCAAAACTATAATTATTCAATCATAATCATGATTAATGATTATTGAATTAATTATAATCTTTGATTATATTATTGATTGTTTATTGATCAATAATTATGATTAATAACATGATTTTGCATTAATTATAATTTTCAATTATTATAACCAGATTATATTTTGTCCAAGTCTGACTGTAAATATTAATAATTTTAATAATTTATTCTTTTTCATAGATTTTACAAATTTATTATTTATTATTATCATTTCTAGATTTTATATTTTTTATATTAATTTTTTAAATTTTATGGATTACATTATTGATTTCATAAATTTGTAGTGTATTTTTATGATAATAAATGGAGATAAATCAATATATATATATATATATTTTTATCAATATATATTTTTAATATATGCTTGTATATAAAATACATACATATACAATATTCTCTTTCAAGTGACAGAAATTTTACTTTGCTATTTAATTATTAATTCCATTTGTTAAAAATGTTTCCTTAATGATCCGAGATATCTTTTATATAAATAAGATTTAAGATTTAAAAATTTATGATATTACTATCTTATTAAGCTGTAATAGAATTTCTCATATTAACAATTATTTTAGATTCTGTTATGCTAATTAGATTCAATTCAGATACATAATCAGTTAATAAAATATTTTCTATTTTGATATAAGATTTTAATATTTATAATGTAAAATATAATTTGATATAACATAATATGATTTCAATTATTTTTTTCAGTTAATTTTCAAACTTATCTTCGATGTTTTATCATCATATATATTCTTATTTTTTTCTATTACTTAACAGATATTGTTACGAATACAAAAAAACTTTAATAGAACTTTAATACACTAATTAAGAAATAAAATAATTGAGATAATCCAATATACATAACACATATATTCTGTTTCATATTTATAACACGTTTAAAAATCTTCAATTAACAACAATATAATTTCAAATATACATAATAATTTCTATGAATTAATCATATTATTGCTTTTGTACTTTCAAAGAAATTGCTTTTGATCTTCTAAAAGATTAAAAGTTAGTAATCGAAATGAATATCTTCATTCATTAATTATTATATGTATGATTTTTATCTATAGATGTAACATTTTAAACTAACATTTTAGAATTGTATTGAATTTATTAAAAGCAACCAATGAAATCTAATTAATGAAATCAACTCTTAAACTTTCAACAATAAAAATGATTTAGAAAAATTATTTAAACTCCGTATATACATTTTTTTTATTATTTATATACACTTTTTTTATTATTTATATTATTTATTATTTACATTAACTCTTGAACTTTCAACAATAAAAATGATATAGAAAAATTATTTAAATTCCGTATATACATTTTTTTTTACTATTTATATAAACTTTTTTTTATTATTTATGAAGTAATTAATTCAAATAAAAATATTGTGATTAATAAAAACATAATTTGATTTTATTTGTTACTCTATTACTTGTTCTACTATTATATGGAATCAAATAAAATGTAAAAATAGAAAAGAAAACTCAAAGAAACAAATATTATTAATTTATTAATATATTACATAAAAGACAGAATTCAGAATTTAAAAAAAAATTTGCTTACTTATTTTTTATCGTATATTCTTTTCCGAAAAAGCAGAACAATTAGAACAACATACATACATATAAAAAGTAACATAGTAATTTTTATTATATGCATAATTTATTATATCATAAAACATGATCTATTTATAAATATGATCCATCTATAATAATGCAATATCTATTTATTAATAATAAAAATCTTATATTAAAAATACTTTAAGAAATATAAAAAATTAAAAAATAAGAAACATATTATAACAATTCCAATTTTCTCTACATTAATTAAATCTCATTTACGAATAACAGTTTTTCTTTCAGATTACAGATATTCATATCTCAACAAAATCTCAAAACTGGTCATCTTATTCGAAGAATGATTTCAACAAACAACTTTAATCTCGTCAAAATTTTATAAAAAACATTTCTGAAAAGTTTCAAACCTAAATCATGTTACCTTTGTCAAACCTTCTCCAAAAGGATTCTACGAACGGAACCACTATTTTTAAAACGCCAACAAATACCAGAATCTCAACCAACGAATCGACCATGTTACCCTCGTCGAGGCTTCTCCACGAGTTATCAGATCCTATAAACGGAATCACTACGTCTAAGACTCTAACCAATACCAGAACCTCGACGAACGAATCAACTACGTTACCCTCAACCACCGTCGACGAAGTCGTGAGGAACGATGACGATCCCCCGCCTTACAGCCCGATCGCGCCTCCGAATCACGTCGGCTGGCCGTTCGACTTTTCGGGAAATCGGTATTCCGCGTACAACGCTACAACCTATACAACGGCTCCATTGGCCCCGTTCCAAACAAGCCTAACTTCGCCTGGCTTCGGTTTCCATACCGAGAGAGCGGAGGAACATGCATCGATTTCGATGCCTTTAATGCCTTGCAGGCTATTTATGTTCGGTTCTCGGAGATCTCTGTTTCCACACGATGGTCCGACGTTTACGGATAACATCTCGGTTAATAAGGAGGATAACCATGAAAGAACACATAGTGAGTATACATATATATGTGTGTATCGGAAATATATATAAAATATTTATTTTAATCTATCCACGCAATTATCTTCTAAATTATGCATTATTCAAACAAATGTTTCATTTGTTGTGTTTCAAGAGGAATATTTTATGACGATTATCAAATTTATTTAGATGAAGAAGTTTTCGAGATCTTAAAGTGACTTTTGTTTTTTTAAATGAAATTATATATTTTTATTTAGCCGTAATTGTCCAAAACAAATTAATTGATTAATTATATTAGTTAATCAAAGTAATACATAGTTTATGAGATAATTGCATGGATAAAGTAAATCTTGTATATTAATTCATAATTCATAAATATAACTCGTAAAAATGATCGAGAGTTAATTATTTTTATTTATGATTTATATATAATACTAAAAAAATGAAACACAAAAGTTGATTTTCAAGACTATTCGTTGAAGCTTATTTTTATAATTGATTATAATTAGGCAGAATTACTCTTATATAGTGTAAAATTAAATTATTTATAATTTGAAAAACTTCAACGAATATTAATTTTTATTTTACTTAATACTTTTAGAATCATCTTGTAAATTTTCTACCTAGTACGAATATTTTATATAGAAAGTTTTTAATGAAATTAAATTATCATATCTCGTTTATTTCAATATAGCTAACATGAAGATAAATAAAAATATACAACAAATAATGGAAAAATATTAAAAATTCATTCTATGATTGTATTAAATATTTTATATTTGCTACAATAAGTTTTTAATATTCCTTTTTAATTTTTGTTTAATTTTAATTTTAATTTACTTTTAAAAATAAAACATTATATTTAAATCTAAAATATTATATAAATATATAAATATATTCTTTTTATAAAGTATAAATGTGCAATCTTATGAAAATTGAGTTAAATAATGAAATAATTATTAAAATTAAAATTTTTTACAATTTGATTTCATTATAAAAGATCAATATTATAAAACAAATAAATGATATTATTCAAATAAGAATATTTTCTATCATAAAAAGATATGATTTCATTTTATTATTAAGAAAATTTAAACTATTGTAAACATCATACAAATATTTATGAAATATCATATACTTATTTTCAATCAATTTTTTTTAAATTTTATTCTATTCATGATTATTTGTTAAATAACATTTTTTTATATAGAATGACAATAATTAAATGCATGATTCAGAAATATGATAATTATTTTTAATTATTGAAAAATTATAGCCTTATTTTTTCCTATAATTTGTGATTCTGTAACTAAAGTTTCATACTTGAAATTGTTTCGCAACAACAGGGAATAAATTCGTTTGAATGCAAAATGAGAAGTCCGACTCTACTGCAAATTTTTCTATCGTTTGAAGTACGCATGTTGCGAATAACGAGATCTTTAATGGTATTCAGTTTCCACCGTGCATAATTCGACTTGCTGAAGATTCATTACCGTTAATTTTTTATTGTAATTGTTAAATGTAATGCGGTAAAATGCGCGCAGTTTGCTTTTATAGTATAACATCACTTCTTATTTTTCTTTTTTCTTTCCCATTTTTTTGTGAAAAACCATGGTCATTTCATCGTTACCTGCTTATTTCAACGCGAAATTAAATTTGTTTTTCAAACTTAGCCGGCACATAAATATCATTTTTACCAAGAACAAAAATGAAAATAAAGAATAAAAGTTAGCACACTCACTTGAATATGATGATTTGAAATGCAAATTTTTTCTGTTTTTTATTACTGTTTTTACATTTTTGCAAAAAAAAAAAGATTTTCTCGCGTAATCAAAACATCACAACAAACCATTTCATTTTACTTTCATGGTTTTATTTATTTAATTATGAATAAACAATTGGTTTTTTTTTCAGGATATGGCGCCATTTTAATTGGAGCGGCTGTCATTATTTTTCTTATGGTCCTTTCATTACTCGTGAGATTAATCATGGATAAAAATCTTTGGCGAAGTTAGCTAAGATCATGAAATGTCGGCAATATGTGGTATGCAGATTTCATTCATTCTCAATCTAGACTGAATCTAGAGTAACTTTATCATAGCATAATTTCTCTTGCGTTGATGTAATAACGAGTATAATTAGAGCATGGTCGTCATGCAGGAAGACTGGAATTTCGAATTTCTTATATCGTGTATGTTCTAGCTGATTTTGTTCATTAATCATTTGTGTGCAGAAGTATTTAATTACCTTTATCAATTTATTGCCAATAATTTTATAATTCAAAACATGTAAATCTATTTATATTAGTAGGTATGTTTTCGTGACAGTTCCTTTATGACAGATTAAAAGAAATAAAATATATTGTATATAAAGTAAAAAAAGTAGAAAAAATCAGGAGTGAAAAATATTCAAATTATCTAAAAATTATTTTTACTTTTTAATACATTTAATACGTGTTACGTGTATATATGTATTACGGAAAATTTCTTCACAGCAGATAACGCAAAGCCGTATCATGGATTTTCTTCAAAAAATGAAGAAAACGGAAAAAAAGTTTATTTAGATTTTATTTCGTGCAATATGAGTATTGTTGCTATTGTATATAGTTATTTTACTTTGTGCATTTTTCATTGTTTTAATTTTTGTAAAAAATTCGTCATTAGGCTTTCGGTTTTTGACAACGTATTGAAATACTTACAGAATAGATATTATTATCTTGTATTTCAATTTTTAATTGCTACAATTGAAAAATAGATACATTAATTTTCTATATTCTGAGATATAATAATAACAAGTAAAAATATAAAATTGTAAGTTACAATTTAATATATATTATATATTATATATTATATATTATATATATTATTATATATATTATATATTATAATATATATTATAATAAGTTTAATTGTATCTTGAGACTTTTGATTTAGTATTGAATTAGAAAATAATGATTGAGACTTCTCACAATAACAGTTAAGTGTTATTATTATTTTATTTTAACGCAATGTTTGTTCGTATTTCGAAAAATATCGTAGCATTTAAATTTTTTTAAGATTTTAATGTTGTTTTTTTCATTATTTTAAAAAATTAAAAGAGAGATTTTTTATATTTTTTTTTATTATCTTATATCAATATATTATTACATATTTTGTAATTCAAATTTAATATATTGAAATCATAAAGCGATATAAATTGTATACGTCATAAGTGACTGTAAATAATCGTCTTGAAATATTTATAAAAATTATAAATTATAAATTTTTTTTTTAAATATTATTTTTTATAAATACTATTAAATTTGATCTATTTTGTAATATTCAATTTATTGGAAATTTTATGATATTTATTATTATATTGCAAAATAGAAAAATTTCAAGAAATATCTTGTCTTTTCTTTTTGTTATCTGAAAAAATATATATTAAAACAACAAAAAAGAAAAAAATTTTTTTTGAAATATATTTTTATCAATGTAATAATAATTGTTCACAAGATTTAAGGAAAATAAAATAATTGCATTTTGCATTTAGATATAATATATTATTTATATGCATAAGAGAGAAAATAAATCTTATACCGTTTCATAAAAATAGAAGAATAGATTAAATTTGTAGATTCAATAGATTTCGTTCATAAAACAAATCGATGGTCAAATTAAAAGAACAAATATTTGCCTGTTGACTTTCAGTCGTTAATATTCTAACTGCGCACGTTTGTATGATCATGTTTTATATATATATATGTTTAACTTTGTTCGAAGTCCATTTTCACTTAAAATAGTAAAAAAAATATTGGCAATTAATATATTTATGTGAATATAAGAACAAAATTTTTCGAAAATCTTGAATTTAAATATATATAATTAAATATCTTAATAGAATAAATTGTTAAATGAGATTTTTAAATATCTGAGATTGCAATAAAATAATAACATAATTTTTTGAGATAAATATTTTTTACAAAGGAAAGAATTATTAACAATATATGTAGCAACATGATGAGTAGTTTCTGAAACATTACTTAACATTATTTATATTATTTAAATTAATATAATTTTAAAAGCAATAAATACATTTTTTATGTTATTAATAATGGATAATTAATAAATCATTTGACAATATTTGACAATAGAAAAATCTTAAGATTGCATCATTGGTATTTCTTCAAGATTAGTTAAAAATCACTAATACTGTTATATTGATGATACAAGATCGTATAAGTATTTTTATAGTTGCATCATTAATAATAATCAAAGTGTTTATTTAAGTATTAAAAATTATTAAAATTATTTTATACCCATTCATGATTAATGGCAAGATTATTAAAAGCAAGATTTACAGGTATATATATATATATATATATATATAATAATTCAAGATCATGTTAAAGAAAATCAAGATTATTTTCAAATTATCAGGCTATTATATTGACTTATAAGATTATTTGCAGAATATTATTTCAAGAAAGAATATTGATCAATCAATAAATAATATTATTATATATTATATTATTAAAATTACCAACGTTGCAATATTAGTTCATTAAGATTATTTTAAAATTAGATGAATATTTTTTCATAAAGATGAAGATTTAACTATTACTATTTCATCATTATCAAGATTATTTGAAAATTATTTAAGATTATAAATGCAATTAGATTTATAAAAATCATAATATAAACATTATCGAAATTATTGGAATTTAAAATCATTTGAAAATATTAACATCAATTAGAAATAATAGTATTCATAACGTTCTTTTATAAGGTAAGTTCCAAGAATCATAATTATGTATATACGTCAACATCAAGCGATTATAATTCAAATATAAAATCACATGTCCCAATACAAATAAGCATATAAAAAACACATAATAATTCTATTTTTTTCGTTAATATTACCAGTATCAAATGATGATTCGCTGTATCGTATTTCGTCATTACTTTGGTCAACGAGATCACAATCGTACATGATATTATAACTTTAATCATGATTAACAGTTTTATATAACGATTGTCAAGCCTAACTCTGATAAAGTCAGTTTGACGGGGGACGTGTTCAAACAGCCCCTCAGGCCAGCGTCCAAGCGATGCGCCACCGGGGAAATTAGCCGGCAAAATAATTCATGGACGAAGCTTTTATTTGACGTCCACGCGGAATCCCTGATATTTCGAGGGATGGAACCGTTCCGTTCGCGTAAATAAATGCGTTGCAAAATTGTTGATTCGCGCTAAGTACCCTCTAGAGCCTTTATCGTTTCGCGAACGGCACGAAGTTAACGCGGGAATTATTGTCCGTTGCCGAGTGCATCATTTCAACAAACTGACGACGATAATGGACGTGACTATGTTGAAATTATTTCACTTCTATCTCTTCTTTTTCACATCTGTTTTTCGTTTTATTTTTTCAAAGAATAAAAGTATAATTTAAAATACAAGTATAATTTTAAAACGCATGATAAAAATAATAACATAGAAACTTAATTTGTTCTTCAAGAATTCGTATATTAATTGATTTAATTTCCTTAATCGTGATATGATTTTTTTTTATGATGATTTATCTTTTATCTTTTATATTATATCTTTTATATAAAAATCTGAAATAAAAAATAAAATTTTTAATTTGAAATTTGAATTTTATAATTATAAATTTACATCTTTATTTTGAAATGTACACTTTTTTAAATTAAAAAGTTTTAATGTAGGCAATATGAAATTCTGACTTTGTATGTACAATTTATCAGATTTCTCGTGTTTTTATGTCGCCGTTTATATCATTTGATATTCATACTTGTATATTTTATGTATATCTTATTCTTTATATCACTTGATATTCATACTTATGTATATTTCATTTAGTTTTTAATCATTATAGTCTATACAGTTGTTAAATCATGTCATTTTGCAATCATAATGATAAGAATACATTTTCCTTAAATATGCAATAGTTCAATTGAAAAATTGTAGTAGAAGTGTATTATTGCAAATATCGATTGCAACAGATATATTTTTAAAAAATTATAAAAGTAAAAATAATTTAAGAAAATTTTCAGCAAAAAAAAAGATATTAACAATCAATCATATAAAATAAAAATATCTAATTATGAATATTGACATATGTAAAACTTAATCCATTGGTTTCAAGGTAAAAAAAAAAAAAAAAAAAAAAAGAATTCAATAAATTATAATCTAAAATTACATAAATTTCTTTATTTTTTTATATAGCATTGCATGCTAAAATGAATTCCATAAAATATAGTTCTATCGATTTTTCTTAAGACGGAATTTTTAAGGATAGATGAACGTATTTTTATAAATAATTTTAATCAAAATAAGGAACATGTTTGGATTACAAAAAACTTATATTTTATAAATAATCAATTAAAATGCATTAATATGATAATTTCTGTATCATATACATGCTTTTATATATATAGTCACATTTCTTTTTCATATTAAATGACATATTAAATACTGAATATTTATTGGATTTATTTAAACTGAATTAAATTTAATTAAAATTAAAAAAAAATTTTTTTCTTTATTTTTTATGATTTTTGATTTGTTACATGATATTTTACTGATTTTTAGTACTTCTCATGTGGAATGAAATGTCGCTCATTATTAAATTAACGCTTGCACTATTAAAGTTATACATCAATAACTTCAAATTCAACTAAATATCAATTTGATGTTAAATATGAAGAAAAATAATTTGGTATCCATAATTTAATATGATTGTATTCACTTGGTTTAAATATTTTTACTTGTGAATTTTTGTAAAAATTGAAATTTATAGTTTATGGAACTTTTTATTTCATAAATATAGCAAAACGAATTAAAAGGAACTATTTATATATGAATGTTGGACAAATGAATAATGGAAAATATAAAGAAACAAATAAATAAATGTTTAAAGTATAGTAGTTGAATATTTGAATATTTTATTGTAAATATTTAAAAAAAGTTACACGTTTCGAAAAGTATTGTGTTTTTTATGATTTTATCCTAATATTTTTTTGTTCAGAATGATAAATATAATAAAAAATATTAAAATTCCATTAAAAAAAGATTCAATTATATATTGCAAATGTATTTCTGTAAAAAAATTTCATAGTATGATAATTTATTAAGTAATGCAAAATTTTTCTCTATAATTTTTTCTATCTGAAAGAGAATTATAATTCAATCTAATTTCAGATTCATTTATAATTAAGACAAAATTGTATAAAACAATTAAAAATCTTTATGAAAATTTTTCTTATAATATTAATGTACTTTCTAAGTACAAATATAATAAAAAAAAAAAATAGAAATAAAGTTATTGATGTCGAAGAAATTAAAAATTATGTAAATATTAATAATATTTGTTTTATAATTATATAATATCTTTTTTTTAGAAATATAATTCATAATACAACAAATACAACAAATGATAGTAATAACAATCTTATTTTTATTGTAAAGTTTCAGTTTATCAGTACTTTCTATATTACTACTTTCTTTGTACAAATCTTTGTAGAAATAAAATATCAAAACACTAAAATTCCGAAATTCATCGACAAAAAAGTCAAAGGAAATTTTCAACAATGCGTCACTTTCCAGAAAATGTCAAGTCTATTCTAAGAAACAAACTCGGCTCCCTCTTTTGTTAAATTTCTAACGCTACGCTCCCTTCGGTCTTGAACTGTTTCTGTTTAAACTTTAAATCGCGTGAACCCAAGGGGAATAAGAGGGCGGCCGCTTGAAAAATA